ATTAGCGGATTTCTCATTACTGCATTATAGTACCACGTTTTATATTTGGAATTACAAATTTGTTTGTTTGTTCAGGAAAAAAGAATCTTTGAGCATTGTGACGATGTATCAAATGTAATACTAATTGAAACTCATATATGGAAAATAATATTTGAATTTTATCCATGAACACATGGAAGGAAGGGAAATATTTTTTAAAGCTACTACTACTATTACAAATACTGCCAGAGCAGAACTTTTGCTTTCAATTAAAACAAGGATCCATTGTATTTCAAAAAGAAACTAAGGATAGTAATAAGAACTTTTGGCCTTAACACCACAGACCCGACTGAAGTGACATGTTTCAACAGACACTTTCGTAAGGTGGGATTTAACAGAACTCTATTTTACATTTCTAAAAACCTGATGTGGTATCGTGAAGAGTGGACAAAACACAAAGAAGTTTCTGAAGCCATAGATGGGTCCCGTTCCAGAAACGAGCATCACTTAATTTGTAATTTTTTAACATTACATTTGTGTCTTTGCAACCTTCTTCAAGGTTAGTAATATGTCACATTTTGTCTACAATGTCCTTTTCAGTTCATAAAGATTCCACATAGACTAACTACATGTAGAAATACAGCTCTGTGTATCAGTGACGTGCGGTCAGGGGAGGCAGTGCCTCACGTGCCATCGTGATAAAAAAGTACATAAAATACATATTAATATTTTCCACTGATCTGTGTTAAAGATGCATTCTCAGTATGACTTTACACATTTTTGACATTTTATTAAGTAAAAATAACTGAATTTAAGTTTTTTGCAATCAAAAACTGAAAAGCTGTGCCTCACTTCTGATTGCGCGATCCAATACAAACTGGGTCACATGACGCTTGCCGGTTTCTGTTCCTCAGCCAAAAAAGTGCAGAGAAAAGTCAGCAGGGGAGGCAAACAGTACTCTGCCTCACCTCAAGGGGTCGTACGTGAACTGACAGGTGCTTTCCAGCTAGTGTCAACAGGCAATTGAAAGTCGGCGCCAAGCAAGAGCCAATAGGTCAAGAACAGCGGTTTCTATGCTCTGCCTGAGCCGACTGACTATGGATTGTATTTCAAGACTAGAACATTTCGCAAAACTGGACTTCCGGCTCAAATAGGAGGTGATAAGTGATGGAAGACCAACGCCGGAGCTAAAAGGTTTGCTTCAAAAACTATGGGACAGAAGAGTCATTCTTTTTAAATGGAGTGGTACAAACAAAAAGACTGGCTGTGTGGCTGTCCTGAAAGAAACCACCGGATACTGTGACCTGAAACATTTGCGAAGAAGCCTCAGCAGACATGAAAGATCAGCCACGCACATTCAAAGCCAGATCTCTTAAAAAAACGTTTGGAAATTCAAGGATCGATTTGGCATCGAATGAGCAACAGAGACTAAACATTAGCGTCCACAATGCTAAGGTGAGGGAAAACCATGGACTTCATCTATAAAGGTAAGGTTAAAAATGGTTTTGAGTTTTTGTTTTTTAAAGATAAAGTGGGAGTAAGTACACTGTAAAAAAAAAAAAATCTGCTGTTTTTACAGTAAAGTACCAGCAGCCGTGGTTGCTGAAAAAGTACCGTAAAATTACAGTAAAACACTTTCTTCATTTACAGTAAAAAATCTCTGTGTTTCAGTATTTTACTGTAAAAAATAAAGTTCTAACACTACATTGTTTTAATTTAAAACTTACATGGGAATGTTTTTATTTTAACGGTACAATGCCGGCAGCCGTGGTTAATTTACGGCTTGATAATGTTGACTTAACAGTGTGCTGGATTCCTTATTTTTCTGTACAATTAACAGTATAAATTGTAAGCTACAATCTTATTCTGTAAAAGATACCATACATTCTTGCAAATATTAGGGTCCAAACAGAAATTCCCTAAAAATTACAGTAAATGCGTGATAGTCAAAATGTAAGATGTGCATTTTTAATAATGTTATGTTGTGCAGCCCTACTTTTTTTCTGTAAACTTCATACACAGCACATGAATAAATATTATTAAAATAGTTAATGTTCCAAAAGTCACAAAAAAACACTGTAGTACTTTCAAAATAGAAACTCTTTATTTGAAGTCCAAACATTTCCAACTTTGCCAGCACAATAAACTGCAGAAACAACGTAAACACTTAAACTGTAACAGTTTGAAAAAGCCAGCCATTCTGGGAAGACTTTTTCTTCTTTATACACTCAACTTTAGTGCCTCTGTAGATAACAAGAAACTCCTTCATGAGAGAGAGAGAGAAGGGGTGAGAACAAAATTTGTTTTGTTTGTTTTTAAAATGATTGCAGTGAGCAAAATGAGTGGACAGATTTAATAGGCACACACCCTTTGTCAGGTCTGTCTGTTTCCTTTTCCTGCTGTCTGCTGTGTGGGGTAATCCGTGTGATCACACTCACCTGTGTGTCTGTAATTAGCCTCACTGGTGTCACCTGGTACTCCTTGTATATATACCTCTCTCCCTCACTCTGGCCTGGTGGGATCATTAAGTAAGTGACTGTGTTGTGTATTGCATCCTGTTAATGGTGTAGCTGTTTCTAGTCTAGTCTGTTCCTATGCTCAGTCAAGTTCCTAGTTTGTCCTGTTCTTGTGTAGAAGTGAGTTTTTGTTGTTTTTGTTCTTTTGAAATAAACTACCTGCACCAGTCCTGCATTTGGGTCCTGCCTGCTTCCTGCCATGTCGATGCCCACACGTGACACCCTTAACAACAAAATATCTGCAGTGTCTAGCATGTCAAACGTACCTTTTATCACATCATCCCTCGACATCATTGGTAGGTCCACTCATGGTCGGCAAGGTCTGAGATCAGTGTCAAGACTCTGGGATTGACCATTCTTCTTCCACTCAACTTTAGTGCCTTTCTTGGGATTTATTGAAAAGAAACACCTTTAAAAAAGGAAAAGAGAGAGAGTCTATTCTGTATTACCGCATGCAGGGTATGCTAGGAACTATTTGTAATTCTAATATTGATAAAGAAATCAATTTTTACCGTTGGAGGAACTCAAGTGTGGACTGTAGTTCCACCGGGTAGTGTATGGTAAAGCAGTAGTAACTGCCAAACATCAGGCAGATGGCAGATGTGAAGGAAGTGATGTTGTTGTTGACAACCTCTTGGTCGATGCTCAACATAAATGTTTCAGCACCAAAGCAGGAGGACCCTGGGAATAAAATAAATAAATAAATTTTAATGACAACAGCTTCAATATCAGCACAACTAGAAATTCAATGGTACAATTTCAATATAGAATGAGAGTTATACAATCTACTGTTGGCAGAACTTATTAGGTAAAATGTTTGCCTGTGTCTCAAAGTGTGCTGCAAGATAACATGAAAGTAAACAGGCCAATAGTACATGTTTGTACTGCAGTAGTGAAAGCTTGCAGGTTTTGTTCAGTTTACTTACCACACACAATAAGACAGGGTGTTGGTGGCACATTCTCCATCTGAACTTCCTCAGCAAGGCTCATCTTCTCAACAAAGTGGAATAGATGCTCTTCCTTCTCATCAAAATGAGCCAGTAGAAGTAGCACCATCTGTATGATTTCCTCTGAGCAACAAGTGGACTGACCTCTTTCAGTTTGCTGCTTGAGAAGAGCATCCAGAACTTGTTTGTGTTCATGTGCATCGACACATTTGAAGAAGTTTAAGAGACGTGCTCCCTTTCTGTCCACGTTGGCAAGGAAAAACTCAATCAAATGCACACCAGTCAGTTCCTGAAAGTGTGCTACCATACCGACTTCCTTAAACAAAAATGGCCATTCCTGGGATAATTTCTGAATGCTTGCACCTGCATTTATCTCCTTACGCTGTGTGAAATAGGTGGACTTGATTAATTATCTCACAGCTTCTTGTGCAAACATCTTCATTTGTTGTTTTTTTCTAGCTGACTCCCCACAGTCTCAGAAAGTGGCAAATGTTTGGGCTGCCAGCTGACACAACCATACGTGTCTTGAACACTTGCTTTTTGTTCACAGATATTTCATGTGTCTTCAGCTGATGCTATTTTGCGTTTCTTTATCTTTGGTGTGTCCGATCGTTTGACATTTTCAACTCTTACCTGGAGTTGCTTTACCAGGGAATGATACCCAAGTCCAATAATATCACCATCAATCACATATTGAAGAGACTTTGGATGTGTGGCCACCACCTTTTTGCTATCTCTGTGGTGTTGCTTTTAGTTGGATTCCTGCAAGCCTTCATCATCTCAGAGACCACAATCCTTATCATTTCACGCCGTAGTCATGGACTTGGCATTTTCTGTCTTTCCAGACTGTGTACCAAATATTCGGGGAGCTTCTGCCATGGTATATTAAAATTGTCTATCCAGTTTGGCGCAAGTGGATGACAAGCTCCTGAGGGAGATGATGTAGCTTCAGAGGATGATGAGGAGGAAGTCACTGCGAAAGGGGAGGAAGACAAAAGAGTGACGATGGAGAAGAACATGGCACAGCTGGAGTTGGAGTGGATGAGGCTATGAAAGTACAACAAAAGAGATTTGAAAACATTAAAACCTTGTTTTTTTGTTTTTTGTTTATTGTTAGAACATTATCATATATTAGGTGTGGCTGCTCTCTCTGTGTCTCTTTCTTTCTCTCTTGGCGTTCCTCCTTCCCCTCTCTCCTGCGCACCTGCTCAGGTGCACAGTATAAAGAGGAGTAGGCCGCGAGAAAGGAGAGCGATGGTTGGAGGCATGCTGGTTTTTTTTTATTTCCCCCATTTGATATTAAAAATAGAGACAAAAAACATACCAAGTGTGGAAAAGGATAAAACCCAGATTTCAATTATTTCAAATTCATGATGCAGCTGTATAAGAGGCATGTGATGTGTTGTGGTAACAATGTTTTACACTTACTGTTTTGGGCCCAAGCAGCAACCAATCTCCTGGCTTGAATTGGCTTCAATACTGGCAACAAGTCTCCCTCCGTAATGTACTGTAAATCCTCTGTTGTTGCAGCACCAAGTGCCATCAGAGTATCCTCTACTGACTTGACAACTTGAACCTGAAGATTTGGAAGCACTTCTACTATAGCATCACTTATATTTTTGGGTATTTGTGATTAAGCCATATCTGTTCAAAAATAAACAACAGAGTGTGGTATCTGGCCCACTGACATGAAAGCATTTAGTGTGACTGAAGAGACTGTGCTTCAAGGGGACAATCTGGTATCCATCTTTTATGTAATATGATAAAGGCCACATGTCAATCAGTTCACAAATATGTCGGCATTCTAATCTCTCAGTGTCCTTTTTTATAGCATACATGTGATATTGTGAAAGAAATTCCCCATCATACACTCTCATCAGAAAATGAAGTGCAAAACCATCTTTTAAAAGAATGAGGATGATTTCACCAAACTCCACTGAATCATCATTCTTAGTCACAACAAATTGGCCCTTCCTATAAGTTATCCCATTATACTGCACATCAACAGGTACTTTTGTGTTTCTTTCAGTGAGGCCAAAATGGAGGATTGTGCTTTTAACTTGCTCACTGTAAAGCTCTGAGTACAGCGGTGAGATATCTTTTATTTGCAAGTTTGGAGGACTCACTGACCCAGCAGAAAGAAAGGCTTGATACATCTGATGTCTCTCTGAAAGAGTCAAACACAGATTTTTGAAATTCTTCAGATGTCTTGTACATCTTTTGAAGTAACTATGTTTGCTCTCAAAACGCATAGTCCATACCCTGATGAGTGGGCCAAATTTAAGGATCAGTACTGGATAATGCCGCAAATAATGGTGTTTAGGTCTCAAGTTGATATCTGGAAATAGTTCCTTCCTGGTTTGCAAATATTCTTGGATGAGAACATCCAAATAAGCTACTTGAGCCTTGGAAATGTTTTGAGCGCAAATTAAGTCAACAATGTCCTTAAGCTGCAAAAATAACTGCCACACATTATCTTGGGGGTCCTGCACTTTGTCTCCAATTATCAGAGGCAACAGTCTCAAGAAGTTCCAATTTTGCACAGCATGTCCACTCAGCTTCAGTGTTTGAGGACTGATCTCACAAGGTTTGGAGGAAGCATCTGTTGCTTTGTACTTAAACTGCTTGAGTCGCCTGTTCAAAGCTGTGTAGGTGAACCATTTCTTCTTATTAATGAAGTGCTTGAGGTAAAGAGCAACATCGTATGGGAGGACACCCTCAAAGATGTCATGACCGAGACAGGGGGGCATGCCAGGTGAACAAACATTAAAGTTTTGTAGAGTATTAAATACCGAGCTGAACTTTATCCCTTGTACCTGTAGAACCCCCTCTGTCTCAAGCTGATCAATGGCAGCTCTGTATGTTTCTGGGGTCCGCGCCTGTCCACAAACGTTTGGATCAGCACCCTCAAATGCAGTTCGAGAAATCAGACAATACCTGCAGAAGTACTCAGATGAACTGAAATTTTCTGTAAAACCACCAAGGGTGTGAGAACCCAGGTTGTCTCCAGCAATGCAGTAGAGAGCTCCCTTTACTACATGTCCATCGGCCATTATTATCCCATTTTCCTCCAGTTGTTTAAGATCAGTAAGCAGTTCTGAGAAAACCTTCGCCTGGCCGAATTCCTTAAAATCCTTCTCTCTGCTTAATAAAACCAGCTGCATGTGGTCAACTATTGACCATGCATGGGGGGGTATGTTGAGTAGAGACAGATAAACGGCCAAAACTTTGTGCTTCTTTTTCGCAGAACCCAATGGGTTTACAACTTCAAATGCATCCTGGTATAAAACCAGCTTGAGACAGCTTGGATTTTCCTGAAAACAGACGTTTGACATGAACACCTTACCATCACAACAGTCAGAGAGAACATCTGTTTTGGAAACCTCATTAGGATCCAGCAACATGAGGCCCTGCCAAAAGCTAGACTCCAACATACCTTTTAACGTTTTTAACACAGGAACATAATAGGCACACCTTTCTGTCCTGTTCTCATCTCTGCCCAACACCACTTTTTTGGGCTCCACATATTTGAACGTCTCTAAAGCACTGGGCTCTTGAGTAAGCAGTTCTCATGGGCCCAGTGTGACAAGCTGTAAACAAGTCAGATTGTTTAATTGTGTCAAAGATTTTTAGCATGTCTTCATCTGAAACTGACGTATTTTTCAGAAGCAAGTTGAATTGATTCAGAGTATAAGTCTGTCCCAACTCGTGTATATTCTGCATTTCTTGAACAATGTTTTGAATGGTAGACACTGGAAGAAGGTAATGTCCCTGTAGTTTCATGTAAAACATACATATATTTCTTAGATATAAATTGCTGAAATTTGACCCATCCCCAACAGGGTCTTCTACATCTGACACACTAGTAACTTCCTCTATTGTAGCACTTGTAGCGGGGCTGTGCTTTCTGGACATGTGAGAGGTAAAAGATGTTTTAACAGAGAACACACTTTTGCAGCCTCGCACTGGGCAAGGAACATGACGCCCGTCTGCCCGGGGAAGTGAGCATATAACTGTTTACTTCCATCACACTGGCGTTCACAAAGTGAGACGGTGCATTTTAATTGCGTTAAAGTCAGGTTCTGATGAACTGTCGATGTATTATGGTGGCGATAGAAATGAGATTTTAAAGCTGCATATCCTGAAAGCACCTGGTTACAAGTTGTTGCTACACATTTGAAAAAACGTCGGGGTTCATTGCGGTGGAGTTTGCAGTGCAAAGTATACGCTTTTACAAATTGGACGTTTTCTCCACATATGTTACAAGAATACATTTCAATGGACAAATCAATCAACAGGTCGGTTAGCTAGCCAGAGACTTCAACATGCCCGCTTCAGCGCGATGCTCGGCAATAAAACGCGAATAATCCCAGCTCAGTAAATTTTTATAGATATACTTACCGAAGCAACTGCAGAAAACTCTTTGGAAATCCGTACCGCCGATAACGGTCGAGATGGTCAGATGGAGTGCGCTGATTGGTCTGTTTGGAATTCAGGCGCGTTACCATCAAGTGCACCATCGATGGAGGTGCTTTTGAAAACCTCTGAACAAAGGCAGTGTAGCGACGACCTCAGAATCTGCCAATGTCTTGCTCTGTCGCCTTACTCTTTCTAACATATGGATTCAAACTTTGAAAACATTTTAAAGGAAAATTGTTAATGTATTTCATGTATAGTGAAATTGATAGGTTATCTGTAATGTTAACTCTTGTGATTCCAGTCTGTGATTGCGTGCGAGTGAGTCTTTGTGTATGTGATGGAGTGAGGAGCCAGGGGAAGGAAAGAAGAGGAGGTAGAGAAGTTATTATTGTTTTGTGGCGTAGTTACGGCCGACAGTAACGGTTAAGGTTTTTCAATAAAGACCTGTCTGAGACGAACGCCTCGACGTCATTGTAACGCCCGGCCGGACGTTACAATATGTATTTATATCGGAAAATACAAACAAATGCGTATTTATTGTTTTCAGCACACCAGTGCGTATATTAAACTGAAAAACTGTATGCTTTTTGGGAACTAAATGCAAAAATCATCGTATTGAATGTTATAAATATTTCAGCATGTTTCTCTTTGCAACCGAGGGGCAATGTATTTTTCAAGAGAAAAAATGTTAAAAGTACTGTACTTTCCTGATTTACTAATTTACGGTGATTCAAAGTCATGGTTTGACATGTATTCACCGTATAATTTATGGACATTTTTAACAGTAAAACAGAAAAAATTCAAGTATTTGATAACAAAATTTTTGGTCTAAAATATTTTTTTCTTTTCATGTTGTCATTATCATTTTTAAAGTTTGAAAAATAACTGAAATTCTAACTGAAGGTCAAAATTAAATTTGTGCTGCACTCATCTCCATACTTTGCTGAGACACAAGAAGTGTGCTTATCAATTTCCCGCCGTAACACTAGGCAAGGGGAGGCAGCATTCTGCGCTTATGCCCTAAGCCTCTGGAACAACCAGCCCAATACCATAAAACCGGCAACATCAGTGACCATGTTTAAAAACAGGTTAAAACCTTTCTGTTGCGTGCTGAGCCCCCTCATATTCACCCTGCTCACACACGACTGCTCAGCACTACATCCAAGCTGTCTGATTGTGAAGTTCGCGGATGATACAGCCGTGGTCGGACAGCCAACAACGAGTCCAACTACAGGCAGGAGGTAGAACATCTGGAGGGTTGGTTTAGAGAAAACAACCTCTGCATCAACGTGAAGAAGACCAAGGAGATGATCATCGAATTCAGAAGGGGGAGACACCCCCCCTCCCCTGCACATTGGAGGGACAGTGGTGGAAGTGGTCTCCAGCTTCAGGTACCTGGGAGTAGGCATCTCCGATGACCTCACCTGGAGAACCAACACTTCCTGCCTGATCAGGAAAGTGCACCAACGCCTCTACTTCCTGAGGAGACTGAGGCGGGTTGGACTGGGGAGCTCAGTCCTTTTTTTTCACACTTGCTCTCGAAGAAGGCGGACGCTTTTTCCCTTGCTCCCTTCCTCCCTTCCTGCCCTTATCTGCCCTGCTACTGCTCTATGTCTTGTACCGTCTCTGTCAAACTATCTCGGAGCCTCTCTCTGCATTTTCCTCCAAAACCAAAATGATGGATCTGGTCAACTGGTCTCTCAACGCAATTGATCAAATTTTCTCAACCATGAAAATGGGTAAAGGAGAACCCGGCTGCC